ATAGCTGGGCAGTGTTTTCGTAAGCAGTGTAGTGCAGTTTCTGCTAATTTATGGCTCTGCTCCATCTTTTGCTGGTGAACTAATGACCAGATTGGAAGGGCCTGCTGCAAAACCATGAGTCTTTTGAATCTTGTGATTTTAAGTGATTTAAGTCTGTAAAATAAAATAATTTCTTGAGCCTAGCTTCCCTTGTACAGCATTTGTTAGGAACTTGCCAACTCTTACACACGTTCCCAAACATAATATTCCTGAGATTCATTGATTTTAATTTGATATTTTCCGTTGGAATCCCGAGGTTTCAGCAAAGGGTCTCGGCCTTTATCCTCCGAATGCTACCAAAGCATAACTAGGGTGGGCAGCTTAAGTCACGATAGTTCGTGTAATATGACCCCACTGGGAATCCGGTTTGAACATGCGCATTGTGTTAATGAGGAACTCCCGCGACGCGTTACAAGATTTCAAAAAAGCAGAGCGCCCTCATGGGATTGACACCGTTGCTAGTGGAAAACATTTTTTAAAATTTTTTAAGATGCAATCGAAATTTAATTCGTTTAAAGTTATGAATAAACAGTATATGCAAATGAATCCTATTGACCAATTAAAATAATTTCACAATCCAGAACCAATCATATCGAGTACTGGACGCGATTTGGACGAAGGTTTGCTAGGTAAATTGACACCAATTTTGCTATAAAAGTCTAGTTTCTCAATAACCGTCGTACAAACTAAATTTAGTCCCCAAATTAACTTCTCCTTCCTCTGAAACCGCATTTTTTATTGCAATATTTTAGATATAGACTTTTTCAGAATTTGTTACCCAATTAACTGCCCACAATACGAAATCAGCTAAACATTTTTCTTGGCTTCATGTTGCAAATCTTGTTATGATTTTGACTCGGGCGTGTTAAGGATTATGCACAATGTTTAGGTTGGAAGGCTAATTCACCGTGTGCGCTCACGACAAAGCACCGTGAATGGCGGTGCAATGTCGGTGTACTTTCACGCGCTCAGACGGTGCTTTGAACAATTCAGCGCTTCATCACGGGCCTCTTAATAAACATGTTAGAGCAACACGGGAATTGGTAATGATTGTGGGAACTATACTACAGGAATGAAGAGTCCAAGATCAAGCAGATATCCTGTTTAGGCTAGGAATAAACTCAAAAGCCTTAGCATAGGCTTGCCTGAGATCTGTTATCACAGAAAAAGGGCGCAGCTGAACTTGCTCAACTAAAGTTCCAGCCTAGAACTAGGCCCTACCTTCTTATCAGCACTTTGGAGATTAAGCTTGGCCTAGGACCGAAGTTATGCTAGGCATAGCCTTGGAGGCTAGGCTTGACCTTTAAACATGTTAAGTAGGCCTAACTCCCCTTTTGTCTCGGCACCATTGCAACAGGATTAACAAGTTAACTATAGGCCAATTATCAAAGTGCGTGGAAAATTAATTTGCCAGCACAGTTTTACTTTTCTGTATCAAAACAATAAGGCACACCATATAGCAAGTCACCATAGGCCCTCTTAGTACTAGTACGTCTATGCCTTGAGAAGTGAAATTGAGTTGAAGTTGAGTCAAGCATGCTGAAGTAAAGAATTCCATCATTAGATTTACATAGATGATAATAAAAAGTACAAAGCAACCAAAATCACACATTGTATTAATTCAAAGAAGGAACATACATGCAAAACAAAGCTGGACACTGAAAAGTGCAGTAAAAGACATCTAAATACACGTATTTTAGAGCCGAAAAGTCTTAAAGAGAAAAATTTTGTGAATCCCAACTCATTTAATTCTTATGTATTTCTTGTTTTCATAATACTGTTGCGTTCCCTAAATATCAAGTCGATGGTAGCATGGACTTCATTAGTGTCTACGGGATGTGATATTTGGGGTCAACAAACTATTAAAGGGTGGACGTAAAA